GGTTTAATATTTATTTCTCAACCTTCTTAAGATGTGTCATGCGTTTATTTCTGATTTTGTATTCGGTAAATATTTTCAAAATGACTTATTAATAATTTTCGTTCGTGGATCGTTTATGCAATCAACGTGGTCACCTTGATTTAGTTGTAATTCCTAGGCTAGGTCTAGGGGTTACGTTCACTTTTCACTTTTCACTTAATTATTCTTTAATTCATTTTTTAATACTTATTATTAGAAGATTAATTTTTCTATTCGCCTCATGCCACTAAAATCTCCAGAAACGGCGTAAACACATTCCCATTTCTATGAATTAATGAGTACAAAACACTAACATTTCCCATACGAGCAGCACTTCTCAAACTTTCATCTATGTGGGGAGGTGGGATCAATTCACAATCGGAAGAGAGAACTTAAGGTCAATAAAAAACTGTTTCTATTCTACCTTTACACAGTTTTTAATTATTAGAGAAAATAAATATCTCATCCAATGTTTGAATCTAACTGACACGATGGTGTTGATTTCTGTGCCAAAGCTTTGAAATTAAGGAGACAAAGGCACCATGAAGGAGTATAAATTGTGTGGTTGAGGCAAAAAGATCATAATTCTGATATGAAACATCCATCATGCATGTGAGAATGGAGCCATGAAATTAATCCATATGCTTGTGGACCTTAGAAACCCCCACCACAATCATTTTCTTCATTTCAAAAATCATTTTTACGTAAAAGTTGCTTCGTTAACAATAATATACAAAGTCAATGGAAGACAATTTCTTCATTTCAACAGGGGAATGAAGATGAGACGCAACCATCACAAACTATGACAACTAGAAAATATAAGGAATATATTCAATTCAGAGTTTAGGAAGTACTTCTGTACAGCTTCGATGTATGTATTCATAGATTCTCTCAAGTAGTTCCATGTGACCGATCGCTTACCACCTTGGAACTTGTCTTTGTATTGCATCCATAGATCCGCAGCTAACTATATATATCCCAGTAAAAAGCCTTATGAAGTTTGAATAAAAAAGGAAATTTGAGGTTGAATGAAGGAAAACCGAGGTAAAAAAACCATTGCAAGTTTTCAAGCAAGGTTTGTTATTAAGGGGATTTGTCCGAAACCTGTTGCAGAAGTACTGGGTTGTTTCCTTCAGACGTCTGGAAAATGTTGTGATCATTCTTCAAGCTGCCAAACCGGTTGAGAGTGGCATATGCGTGGCCTCTTCAGGCTTCCCTTCAGGTACTAAGTGACTTTGCTGTATATGATATTACGTAGGACTTCAGGCCTGCAGAAAGTGCATGGACATCGGCAACAAATTGTTTATTTCTTTATATTTCTCCTCCCAATGCTGAGCGGCGAAATGATACGCATACACTGAAGCCAGAATCGGCATAAGCTTGTGCTGCAAGTAACGAATGCCGACTTCAGGCTGTTTTAGGGGGCCAAATTGCCGGCCTAGTTACGAGTACCGAACAGCAATAGTGACCAAAATCATGAGGAAACCAAGTGAAAATTATGCAAGGCCAATCTTCCAACCTACAGGCTCACCCAACATAGCAGCAAAACGTTTGTGTATAGTAGGGAGTCTCCATCGAGCCTGATTCAGAGCATTCAATATCTTAAAAACACATGCTATATTGCTGACTTACTCTATATTAGAATCACTCGACTTTTCTTTCTGCTGCAATCCCTCCAATTATTCCAACAAGCACTCAACTCTAAAGCTTTTGAGCATCTGATTTTGATGGTAACTCCAAAGTTAATATCTGAAATATGAAGACATTAACAGTTGAAAACATAGATGGAGGGATGAAGAAATCATTGAAGGAAAATGCAGTGTGGTGGAGATGTCTACTTACTGCCCAATCCATGCAACGAAAGCAATGGAGCTGAATCAAGTCAACTACCGACTCTATGAATTAAAAAACCACCACCGACTCTACAAAGAAATGCAACTATCATAAGCAATTGAATTCTTAATGTACAAATTTACGGTAACTAGAATCACAAAGTAAGAGTAGTTTTCAATTTGGAAATTCAAGTTGACCTTTGATGCAGAAAAATGATGCCTCGTCATAATCATTGTCTCTTATAAGCATATCCTCATTAAACACAATGAACACATGAACTTTGTATCTGTAGGTCCCGCCCATCTCCAAGAATCTGCTCCCACTACACCCATTTGGGGCTATCTTTAAATTTATCCGAGAATTCACGCTTCGATGCTCAAACTCATTTGCCGAAACTTCATTTCCTGGGATACAACAAAACAGTTCATTTCCAACTTTGAAATATTGCTCGATACATTTTTCACCGTAGAGTAACTCAAACTCAACTTTCTATGTCTGACAAGATGCTGAATTGATTCCGACACTTGTTCTATTCCAGTGTATCTTAAATCTAAGTCAGACAAATTATTTGGGAGCTCATGAGGAAACTTTTTAAATTATGACATCCCTTCAATTGAAGCTCTTTGAGAGATGCCAAATGATTGAGGCTAGGTAGTTCAACCAACTTGTACAGTAATTGCACTTAAGTGATTTAAGGTTGATGGCTACAAATGGATTAGGAATCTTACTTAAATTCCTGCAACAATAAAGGTCAAGGATTTCAAGAGATACAAATTGGTTGAGGGAAGGCATTTCAACCAAATTTTCACACCCATTGCAGCAAAGGCTTTGGAGGTTGATGGCTCCTGATAGATTAGGGATCTCCATTAGACTCTTGCAGTCAGAAAGGCCAAGTTTTTCAAGAGATGCCAAGTGGTTGAGGCAAGGTAGTTCAATCAAATTTTCACACCCATTGCAGCAAATGCTTTGAAGGTTGATGGCTCTTGATAGACTCGGGATTTTCCTTAGACTCTTGCAACCAGAAAGGTCAAGTTTTTCAAGAGATGCCAAATGGTTAAGGCAAGGCAGCTTAACCAAATTTTCACACCCATTGCAGTAAAAGCTTTGAAGGTTGATGGCTCCTGATAGATCAGGGATATTCCGTAGTTTATTGCAATTAGAAAGGTCAATTGACCTTAAATTAAGAAGATCCTGTACATTGAAAATATAAAATAATAGCATTATCTACTTATTTTGGACCGTATCAAAAATAAAAACAAAAATATGAAATACCTGGTGATCTTCCTTCCAAAGTTGTTCTTTGCAGCTATCAGTTAGTTTCAACACAACAAGATTCTTTGGATTAAAACTTGATAAGGATTTCAAGGGAAAAAAGTCCCAACGAAGATACCTTAGCTCATCAGAAAAAGATACGCTATCAACTGTCTACGGGAAGTTGTTGAAACAAGAACGATGATATATCCAAGATTATGCATCTTCTCAAAACCTGAACATAATAACAGCAGGTATTCAATTCGATAAACGAAAAAGCTTTATTCCTTCAACTGATTTATTCACCTCATAATAAGAAACAATTCATCAAGTTTCGTTACAAAAATATTGTGAACATTTCATTAAAATTACTCATTATATAATATAATTATACTAAGAAAAGCATAGATTGATCAGACATATCTTTTTAATACTGAAATTTTTAGACAATAAAAAATGTTTTATATGTATAGTAAGTAAATAAATATTTTATTTTTTGAAATAATAGTTAAAATATTTGAAACACTTTGACAGATAACAACATATAACTAAATGAATTTATATATTGACAATATATCAAATATAAATTTCAATTAAAATACACAAATATGTAAAAAAAAAAAAGGAATATTGATCCAATTAATGCTTACTTTATTATATTTGAGCACTTGGTTCATGTCTTCGAGACTCCATAACCTCTTGCGCTTTCTGGGATTCTTAGATTCTCGGTGAACAATGCCCTTCCCCATCTCTTCAAGCATATCATGCATAGAAATCCGCCCATCAGAATCCATATGAAGTAGACTCTTGTCTAGCAAATTGCTTATTCCACACATTGCACCATTATACAAGCAACTTAAAATTTCTTCTACTTCTTCCTTGAAGTCCCCTCTGAAGAGGCATGCTGTGTCAAGAAATATATTCTTCTCTGACTCATCCAACGCATCAAAACTACTAATGAAAATCTGGGAAATCTTTGGTTGTGCAATAAGAAAAGTCAAGGCTTTGCTGGTAATAGTCTGATTTAGTTGTCAATTCTTCATCTTTTGTATAGGATTTTGGTCAACTACATTACAATGTCAACTGGAAATAAGTCAACTTTTGGCATACTGATAGTGGGTTGTTCAGATCAAGTTTTCTAGACGTGTATATGATTCTTCCCGTATTACGTATTCTTATCGTCTATTTCTCAATACGTGAATGTCTTTGTAATAATCTTTGTTAATATCTCTCTGCTTTTTAGGTCTATTTATCCTTGTACACCACCATTGGCATATTGGCAGAGCAGGTATCTTCTTGTTGTTGGCGACCCATTCTCTCTCTCTCCAGTTTAAAGGTACTTTTCCGTAACTTCTTTAAGCACTCCGTCATTTTTCTTGAAATATTTCAACATTATCCATATTGGCCCATAGGTCGCTTAACCATATCCCTAACATATGCCATATCCTTGTGTTTTGTAGCTTGCATTGTCCTATAACGAGGCTGTCTTGATTGGAAGGTTGACCTCTTCAAATGGTAGCATTGTTCAATATGTGTTTCTAGGATCTCTTCGGAAACGGGTCGAAGAACTCCTGAATTGTTCAGAGGCATTAAAGAACGATTTGCGTGATTATTTGAAGTCGGGCAGTTGGCCCATTGATGATAGATCCAGATGGAGTGAAAAGTTCAACAATTTTTTCTTGGTATTTCCAATGGTTTGAAGTAGCAGCCCCAGCTACGATGAAGACAACGGTGGACAGAATTAATCACATGAACATCTCTTCGTCTCGGGTTCCTTTGTTATGTTTGTTGTTACCAGGCACTCACATAGATGCAATCAGAGAGATAAATCGACTTCTATGGTCTTCCTGAGTGAACAGATGAAAGTAACTAAACTGTTAATATACAAATTTACCCTGACCAAAAGTATAAAAAGAATTCGGCGGTTCCTACTACTCCAACACATACTAAACCCAACAAAACCCAACGATAAAGTGATAAAGCCTTGAGCCTGAATTATGCAACTAAACCCAACAAAAACTTTTCACCCACGCAAACAAAGCAAAGACAAATACATCCACTAATACATAAATGCAGAACCAAAGATTAATTCCATGCTCAACCGAAAAGAAAATGAAATTCGACTCGAGTTTTCAATATTTCTCAAACAACTTGAAAGGCAGCAAATTCCACATCCTGAAAAGAAAACATCAACCCCAAATGCTCTGTATATATACAAAACAACTCTCGACCTCAAAGCTGTTCTTAGCATGGCTATGTAATCTGTCAAATGATGCCCTCCAAAATAGCCTCACCTATAAAAGAATGAGAACATAATAAGCAATTAAACTACAAAATAGCCTTAAACTGTTATGGTAATCCAAACCCAAGAAAAGAAAACATCAGCTCCAAATGCTCTATACATAAAGAAAACGACTCCTGACTTCAAAGTTGTTATTCTAGTGTGTTATGGTAATCTTGCATGACAATGGAATCTGTCAAATGATGCCCTTGAAAATAACCTCCACATACAAAATTATGAGAAAACATAATAAGCAATCAAATAGAAAGAAATTCAATCCGTAACTCTTACACAAATCTTCCTTTTGGCGAACAACATCCTTGCCCATCTCTTCATGCATAGAAATCTGCCTATTAGAACCCATATGAAGTAGAGTTTTGTCGATCAAGTTGCTTATTCCACTCACTACACCCTTATAAAAGCAACTTAGAATTTCTTCTACATCTTCCCTGAGTTCCCCTTTAAAGAAGAATGCTATGTCAAGAAATATTTTCTTATTTCCCTGAATTGGCACAAATGTTGTACTTTTGTACAAACAACTGTGGTACAAAAAACAGCGACAAATGGAATGACATGATAGTCGACGATGAGCTACTTTGTCATGGAGTCAAATTTGAAATCGGGTGCATGCAGTAATTTTGGATCAACGACAAATCATAAGCAGTGGCAGTAGAGGAAGCAATCGACGAATCACATGCAGCGGCAGCAGTGGCAGCGACAGAAAAAGAAGACGAAGTGAACTGGTAAAGGAGACGTCGACATCGTATGAAAAGAGGAAAAACAACCTAGATGAGATTCATGACACAGACAAGAATGTCAGGATTGTTGGTGAATGATACCATGTGATAAATGCCACATAACAGGTTAAACACAAGCTCACCAATCTAATATGACAATGTAATCCGTCAAATGATGCCCTTCAAAATAGCCTCCACCTACAAAAGAATGAGAAAACATAATAAGCAATTGAATTGAAAGAAATTCAACCCTTAACTCTTTTAACAGATCTCCCTTTTAAATGTACAACTATCATAAGCAATTAAATACAAATGAAAACAGCTTACCTACGCATTTGGAATGAGAAGTTGCATACCCAAAGATTAAAAGAAAAACTATTTCAATGTTTTAGGCCCTCCATCACCTTCTTCACCACCATTGCCAAATCTTCTTTCATCCCCAGGTCTTATTTCAGTAGCAGAACCGTCATGAGCCACCTCAATATTAGCAACTTCTTGAGAATCAGAATTCTGGTTGGATTTGTCCCATCTCATCACATCACTAATGGTATACCCCTCTGCATCCATGTAAAATATGTTAACACCACATTTCTCCACTTTAAATTCATCTCCGGCAAGATTTCGGATGTACAATTCAAATGATGCCTCCTCATAATCATTGTCTATTATAATCATATCTTGATTGAACAGGATGAACACATGATCACCCTTGCAATTGCAGATCTTGGCCAGTGTCACAGAAACACAGCACTTACTTGCGAACTTTTCACCACTGGTGGTGGTCAGTCGGTATTTGCAGATAAATTCAAGATTTCGTTTTGTGAGTGTGAGATCAGCCACAAGGCAGACAGCAAAAGCCAATAATCTGCTCCCACTAAACCCATTTGGGGTTATCTTCAAATCGAACGAATAATCCATGCTTCTGTAATAAAACACAATTTCTGGAACTTCATTTCCTGGGAAACAGCAAAACAAAAAATCCCATCTATATTCCCCTAGGGATATCCCTTTCCTCCTTACCCATCTCTGTGCCAGGGAATGAATTTGAAGCATGGTGTTTGCCACAATGTTTTTTATTGAATCTTGATTCAAGCTTCTACAGTTCGAGAAAAGCATGGAAATGATTTCTCTACGAGGAGCACCATCACCGTCATGTAAAGAATGGAATGGATTGAAACTATCATCGGTGAAGGACACTTTTTCTAATGACGTGCAGTTCCTTGCATCCAAGAACCACAAATATCGTGGAAGCTCCGGGAGTGTCTTAAGGCTTTCGCAATGATCAAGAACCAACACACGAAGGGATTCAAACTTTGAAATATTGTTCGATACATTTTTCACCCATGAGTGACTCAAATTCAACTCTCTAAGTCCGACAAGATGCTGAATGTAATCAGCCACTTCTTTTATTACAGTGTGTGATAAATTTAACTCGGTAATGTTATTTGGGAGCTCAAGAGGTTCAACCAGGTCTAGACACCATCTTAAGTTAAGGCCTTTTAAGTTGATGACTTCTAATAAATTTGGGATCTTTCTTAAATTCGTGCAATCAGAAAGGTCAAGGATTTCGAGAGATGGCAAATGACCGAGGCAAGGTAGTTCAACCAAACTTTCACACATACGGCAGCAAAGGCTCTTAAGGTTGATGGCTCTTGATAGATTAGGGATCTTCCTTAGTTTAATACAATAGAAAAGGTCAATTATCCTTAAATTAACAAGATCCTGTACAATGAAAATATAAAAAAACTATATTACCTCATAGCATTATCTATTTATTTTGAACAAAATAAAACGAAAAAAATACCTGATGATCTTCATTCCAAAGTTGTTCCATACATCCAAAATGTAATTTCAATATGGCAAGATTCTTTGGATTATAATTTGGTGGCAAGGATTTGAAGGGGTAACCGCTCCAACAAAGATATCTTAGTTCATCAGGAAAAGATACACTATCACCATTGTGTGCAATTACATTCTCATTCTGGAACAACAAACACTCAGTATCCAAGTCGATGTATCTAAGATTAAGAATGTTCTCAAAACCGTGACGACGTGATAACAGTGAGTCAAACCGAGTCATCTCAAACCTTATTCCTTCAATTGATTTATTTTCCTAATAACAACAAACAATTTGTCAGGGATCAGTATAGAGAAATTTATGGACGTTCCATGAAATTACTCATTAAACAAATTTATTTATATTAAGAAAGGCTTATATTAATCGAGCATACCATTATATTATTGGAATATTTAAACAATAAAAAACGCATGCTTTGTTCTTTTAAGCAATGCATTAGATATTTGTCAAGCACATATATATATATATATATATATGATAAAAGAGAATATAAATATATAATTAGCACTTACTTTATTATATCTGAGTACTTGATTCACGTCTTTGAGACTCCATAGCCTACTTCGCTTTTCCGGATGTTTAGATCTTTGGATAATAATATCCTTTCCCATCTCTTCAAGCATATCATGCATAGAAATCCGCCTATAAGAATCAATATGAACTAGGCACTTATCCAGCAAGTTGCTTATTCCACAAGCTGCACCCTTATACAAGCAACTTAGAATTTCTTCGACATCTTCCTTGAGTTCTTGTTTAAAGAAGCATGCTATATCAAGAAATATATTCTTCTCTAGTTCATCCAACTCATCAAAGCTACTCTTCAAAATCTGTGAAATTTTTTGTTGGGGATATTCCTTGAGCTTATCCACCTCACCTTCCCACTCTTTTCTAGACTTTGTATATAGTTTAGAACCCAAAACCTTCAGAGCAAGTGGATTGCCTTGGGCGTACTCCAAAAACTTGTTCGATAGGTCTTGAAAATCAAGAGCAGGATTCAAAAGCTTAAATGCAAATGTAGAAAAGAGTTGCAGAGAGTCGTTCTCATTTAATTTGTTTACCTCGTGTATTTTGTCAGCTCCTCCATTCTTAAGAACTTGTCTATCTCTAGATGTTAGAATGATTTTACTTCCCTCACCAAAATATTTTACACCCATAAGATCCATTAGATCTGAGTTATTAACATCATCAAGGACGACAAATACTCTTTTATTTTTTAGCCTCTTTTGGGTTAAAGGGGATCCTATGGAGGGAGTGTCTATATCAATTTCGTCATCTAATAGTTTGGAAAGAAGTTCATTTCTTACATATTTCATCCCTTTTTTTCTATTTCCTCTCTAACATTTTGAAGAAAGCAACGACTTTGAAACTCATAGGAGATTTCATTATAAACAACATCAGCAAGAGTAGTTTTGCCTATACCACCCATTCCCCAAAGTCCTAATACACGACTATCTTTTTGCTCAATCAGCCTTAAAATCATTTCTTTCTGATCATCCATTCCAACCAAATCATCAGAAATACTTCTAGATTTGCGATCCAACATTTTTAAGATATATCGAACAACATCTTTAATGTACTCAGTATCAGGCCTGAAAAATATTTGTTGAAATGATTGTCAAAAGAAAAACGAGTCAAGTATAAGAAGTAAAAGAAGATGAAATGTAAGGTTACCTATCGAATTTGCCTCCCTCTATATGCCACCCTTTTAATTTACCAACTTCAACAAAGTCTTCCTTCCATTTTTGCACTTGACATAGCCCATTTGATTCATGATCATCAAAGGATGCTTTGAAACTCCCACCGAGATTCCTCACATCAGAAGGATCAACATGGTAAAAGATGGGAATAATAATATGTTTTTGAGTGCGCTTACGCCCCATGATGTCAGAGAGTTGAGCCAAGCATGATTCCGAAGAAGCATAGTCTTTAGATAAAACAATTATCGATAGATTTGAGGCTGCAATTGCTTGAGAGAATTGAATCTCTGCTTTGTTGGAGAAGACATTTATTCCCGTGCATTCCAAAGCTTTGAGAAGATGACTGCTGAAGTTGAGGCGCGTGTCCTCACCTAAGCTCAAGAAAACTTGATGCTTCATCAACTTTTGCATAGCATATTCAACAATATGCTTGATGTGATCAGTTTCAGGTCTAGCAAATAATCAAAACAAAAATATATCATTATCAAATCTAAAACAAACTTAAGTCAAACACACGAAGATGAGAAAAATATAGTTACTTGTCGTCCTCTATGTGAATTCCGGGTAATGATCCGACTTGGGCGAAGTCCTTTTTCCACTGTTGTACTTGACGCAGCCCATTTGATTCATGGTCATCGAAGGATGTTTTGAAACTCCCACTTAGATTTTGCACATCGGAGGGATCAACATGGTAAAAGATGGGGAGAACAATATGTTGTCGCGTACGCCTGCGATGCATGATGTCAGAGAGTTCGGCTAAGCATGATTTGGAAGAAGCATAGTCGGCGGACAAAATGATTATCGAGAGATCTGAGGCTGAAATTGCTTGGGAAAGTGCTAGTGAAAGTTGTTCCCCTCTTTCGAGTTTTTCTTCATCGAAGAAGACATTCATCCCGGTGGCTTTCAAAGCTTGGAGTAGTTGGGTGGTGAAGTTAAGACGCGTGTCTTCACCCCTGAAGCTCAAGAAAACCTGATACTCTAGTTGACAAGAAGAGGAGGAAAAATCCTTCAATCGACAAGAAGGGGGCGAAAAATACTTCAATTGACGAGGTGGGGAGAAAGAATACTTCAATTGAAGAGAAGATGACGAAGAATACTTCAATCGGCGAGAAAAGGATGGAGAATAATTCAGTCGACGAGAAGGGCAGAGAAAACACTTCAATTGACGAGAAGGGAAGGAGGGAATACTTCAATTTGAAAGAAGAGGAGTTAAAAGAAGAAGCCATGAGGAAAATGGAAGCTGAAACTCGAGGACGGATGGCGGCGATGCCGATAATAGAGATTATGAAAGAGAGTGAATGGATTAGGTCTTGGCCCATGTTGAATGCCCATGACTACTGGTTTTTGGGTATCGGATCAGGCAGAATCGTGTGCACCACTACATTTCTCTTTCTTTTATTAATAATCTTAATGACTTTGATTATCTCTTTTCGATGTAAAAAAAAAAGGAAGAAATGGTTGGATTCTGTTGTTGCTAATCTATTTTTGTTTATTTATTTTTATTTTGAGCTTGCGGTCTTTCCTTTCCTATATCCTTTCTTCTTTACTCGAAGTGTCTTTAGTTTTTTGGTTCTCTTCAAACTTTAGTGGGGTGGTAGTTATTTTCCGGCAAAATTGACCCAATATATCATACGAGTGAAAATATTAGGTTATCTTTAAAATTAATTTTGGATTTGAGACAAATGTTACAGTGCATGTTAAACTTAGAAAAAATTTAATCCCTAAATAATTAGTCCGCATACAGTATTGGGTTAAAATAGACTTTATTTTCCCACTAAAACTAACAAAGATGGTGAAGTATTATGGTATAATGAATCTTTAAATTTCATACGTTCTATCATCGAATCTTAATTTAAAATAATTCAATAAATTTAATCTTCTTGATATTAAAAACAATATCAATTTGGTCCTTCTCGCAATTCTCTTTATTCGCTCTCTTCTCTAAACCTAGTTTCTCATAGAAATCATTGTCGTCATCAACATCCACTTAACTATAAAAATTAAATGTTTCTTTCACCGGAAAATAGACTAAACTCCAATAATCTAACATGGAGAAATGCCAACTACCACCATTTTTATGAACCACTACAATTTTTGCAAAGCTAATGCTCTACTTTTTTTTATTTTCTCACGCTTAGTTCATTTTGGGTGCAAGTATATTGATTGGTTTATGCATGGCTTCTTGTTTGGATTCTTACGCGATGCATTTTAAGCTTTTGCAGGGAAAAGTGTCTAGAACGTGGATAATATATAACAAGCTCGAGGATTGAACTTAATGCAGTTCATGCTGGACTTCTCCTTGCTCTTGGATTACATGGATTTCTGCGTGTTTTACGGTTTACGGACATACACCGATCCTTTTCACAGGTTTCTTTGTTCGCTAAGACGTTCTTCTTGCAATTGATTTAGTTGCAGTACAATCGAGAACATCCGAAATCCGGATACAACCCGGTCCCCAACAAGCAAAACTTATCTGAAAACGTTCTTCTTGATAATGAATGGAACTCTTGATTCTGAATGGAATTCTTTTTGTGATACTATCATGCAAACGTGCAAGAAGTCATCCGTAGTGTCTCAAGAGACACCAAAATCGTCTTGGGAGTTTCTTCTTGATGGCAAATTTCACAGGAACTACTGCAAAATAAATTCTATGATTGGATTGTCTTCTGACGTGGCACTTGACAGGATAGGATTGGATTCAATGAGAAAGTAAACAAATCTCATTGACTTACATGAGGAAGAGAGTGGGAAGAGATTGTGATCGTGGTCGTGATCGTGATTTGAGTTCTTTGGAAGATGAAGCTTGGGAAGCAAGCAACAACGTCGGCCATAGCTGCGATACTTGCTTTTAGGAACGTGAAGCAAATCTATTTTTGTAATTTTCTTAGGAAATATTGAATTGATTAGTTTCCCGTAGTGCATGTAGTCTAAACTATTTCGAAAACAAAAGTATTGTTATATATTCATCTCTCAGACTCATGTATTTCTGGGTCTGTTCGTTGAAAACTTGCTGTTACTCATCTGGGACTTCCTTCTTCTTCTTCTTCGCAATTTCGATTTGTTTATAGAGCTATTATTGTATCTTCACTCTTGTTGCTGTAACAATGGATGAACTTCCACTACTATACATATATGTAATGCTGAAATTATGAAAAGGAAGGAGCACACTTGTTTCTCACTGCAGTAGTGGCAATGGATGCTTATATATCTCCTATGTATTTGGTTATTTCTATCATCACTCATTTTGTAGAATTGATGTGTAGTTTTTTCTCTCTCTCTCCAGAATTTTGGGATTTTGATAAGAACGGTTGCATGATTTTATGTTAATTAAGAGAATAGACTCATAAAATTTCAAGGACGAAAACATATTTTTAATAAAAAATATAAAAATATTTAAATTATATGAAAATATACCATGATTTTGGTTATTATAGTTAAACAAATATCTTTTTCAATATACTGTATTCACTAATTCTATGATTGGATGGAACAAAAAGTTCAGAATAATCGTTTTACTCTGATTTACTATCATGCAAAGATTCCCCCTGCTTACTACATCAGTGGATGAACACAACCGGGGCACTGGCACTACAGCAAAACTGTTCTGCAACGGCGTTTTTAGCGGCGTTTTAAGAGTAAACGCCACTAACTTTAAACATATAGCGGCGTTTATATACAAACGCCGCAAAAGACTCTTACTTTAGTGGCGTTTTTATATAAACACCGCTATAGACTCGTACTGTAGTGGCGTTTTTACACAAACGCCGCTATAGACTCGTACTTTAGTGGCGTTTTTATATAAACGCCGATATAGACTCGTATTTTTGTGGCGTTTTAATACCAAACGTCGCTATAGACGCGTACTTTAGTGGCGTTTTTTATACAAACGCCGCTATAGACTCATACTGTAGTGGCGTTTTTACACAAACGCCGCTATAGACTCGTACTTTAGTGGCGTTTTTATATAAACGCCGCTATAGACTCGTACTTTTGTGGCGTTTTAATACCAAACGCCGCTATAGACGCGTACTTTAGTGGTGTTTTAGTACCAAACGCCGCAATTGTCATATAACCTAGTGGCGTTTACGTAAAAAAAGATGCGTGGCTGTATTGCAAAAAGATCAGAAATTTATTTGGTTATGTATCTATTTTTTTCATGCCAAATTGATTTTTGCCATAATTTTATTTGCTTTACGACCTTGTTATTCTATTTGGTGGCTCTGCAGTTTGGATGTCTACTTCTTCTCTGCTATTTAATTTGTGTTTGGAAATTTTTGTAATTTCGGGCGTTAATAATACTTGTAGGCTGGAAGATGTTGGTAAGCCGAAGGCTGAGGTCGCAGCTAAGTTTGTCATGGAAAGAATTAGTGGTGTGAACATTGTGCCCCATTTTTGCCGAATTGAGGATAAAGATATTCGATTTTATAATGACTTCAATATCATTGCCCTCGGTCTTGATTCCATTGAGGCTCGGAGCTATATTAATGTCGTGGCTTGTAGTTTTCTTGGTGTGTTCTTTTAACCTATTACAATCTGACTCTATTCACTTGAAATTTGCTTTCCATAGCTATTATATCTGGCCAAGTGCATTCGAAATTCTGGTATTTGTATTTTGAAATTCTAAGAATGTATCTTATAGTGAGCGGTAGCAAAAATACTCTAATACTCGTCTATAGGTTCATCATCATGGCACAGTGATGGCATGTAAGGGTAATAGATTATAAATTGCCATATATCATATACTCCCTATGCTTATGTGATGAGATTTGGAAAAAATGAGAGCTTAGAATTGTGGCATGTTTCTCAACATGTTTGAATTGCTCGAGGCATTTTTAATCCCTTAATACTTAGCGTTGAAGGATGAGTGAATTCATGGCCAAAAAAGGTGAGAGAATTTGGAGTACAAAAATGATTAGAACCTAGTGCCTAGTAACCATTCCATTTGATTCTTTTCTTTTTCCTCTGTGTACCTTAGCAAAAACCCCCAGAAATGCAGCTCATTGTATTGAATATTCTCACTTAATTAAATGGGATGAGGTAGTAATTTGTCTTGTTTCTGCTTTCGTAAATAGATGACATATCGGTTGATTCTCATATTTCATGACAATTCTGTTCTTCAACCTTATAGGTTCACAGTGGAAAGGCATTCGATCCAGATAATCCAGATCACATGATGTGTACCTTAGCAAAAACCCCAGAAATGCAGCTCATTGTATTGAATATTCTCACTTAATTAAATGGGATGAGGTAGTAATTTGTCTTGTTTCTGCTTTCGTAAATAGATGACATATCGGTTGATTCTCATATTTCATGACAATTCTGTTCTTCAACCTTATAGGTTCACAGTGGAAAGGCATTCGATCCAGATAATCCAGATCACATGAAGTGGGTCTATGATGAGGTTAATTATATAGATCATTCTAGAATTGTTTTCCATCAAATTGATTTTACTTTTTTTATTCTTTCACTAATACATTCGTATATCACATGCTGTCAAGAGAGTTGAGCTTTTCGGCATTCCAGGAGTTACTTATTCTCTTACTCAGGTATTCTGGGATTTATGATTTATATGCTTGATCACGGTATCACTACTACTTGTGTTCTTATCGATTCCTGAAGAAAATAACTTATATTTAAGTTGCCCAATGTGTCAATGTGGTTTTTAACATTTTCTTGGCTACTTTTCGAGATTTTGATACTTCTCAGCTATGTCTTAGCCATTGGCTATAAAAGATGTATCTTAGCCATTGGCTATAAAAGATTTTGATACATTTTCTTTTCTTTCCGTGACAGAATGCTTTACCTACATTTTTTAAAAAGTATATGCAAGTCAGTGCCAATCATGCCCGAAAGTATAGTGGGACAGGACTGGGCATCGCAATATGTAAACAGCTGGTGAATCCTTCCTTCCATCAACAATAAATGTTCTGTTTGATTTCGTTTTTCTCCCCTACAGTTTCTATAGTTTCCTCCCCTTTATAGCTTAGGCTTAAAGAACCATTTTAGCAGATCAGATAATTATGTTATAAGTCTCAGTATGTCTTGTTCAAACCAAGGACTTAGTGGACAGAAAAGTATACAATTTGATATTAAAACAGTTTGTTTCAGAGCTTTCAGTATCCCCAGTTCATTTTTATAAATTGTTGCATTGCACATGCCAAAATATCTCCAGTATTTACTTTAGGATATAAGATCACAGAAAACTCGATGGATGTGGGATAACACCGTTGTCAATGTGTATATGCATTTGTATATTTGTTTCCTTTTAATATGGTATTAGTTTGAGGAAATTATCGTGTCAAAGTTGTTGCATTTTCTAGTTTACTACATGTGCAAGCCCTTAGATTGAGCACTAAAATATAATATTTGTTTTCTCTCTCTTCCCCTTCATTTATGCAGATGCTTCTAAAAAGGTTCAAGGTCATTCTGGCTTGGTGGCAAGATATGTCAGAACAAAACTACAATAGTGTTGTAAAACCTGTTGCTTCTACTTCATCTTTCTTCCCAGCACAGAAGATAAGAACAAAACCTTTTCTCTTTTAGGTTGGTGTTTCTACCTAATAAATTTAAATTTGATATCTATTGTTGCTTTCCATATGTATTTCGTTAAATTCATCATATCATTACCATATCATTGATGTTTGTTGGCCTCCGGTTTATGCTGTCTAAATTAGCACTTATATTTGGGTCTTTCATGAACCATGAGCAGAGGCTAATACTTACAGTTAAACTGAAATTTGCATTCTTTATAGGAATATAGATGACGTTGACAAAACAATGGAAGAGATGAGAACTGAAATTTGCTAATTCTCAATTTTCATACTATAGGTGGAAGGTCGTTATCTGTTTCAAGTGAACCATTGAAGCGCACAAGGAGTCTTCTTGGTGAACCGGAGCAATGAAGACTAAATTCTAGTGAATAATATTTTTTTTTAATTGAAAGTGAAATAACCTAGGCTAAATTATAGAGAACAATGTCAAATTACATTACATTTAACTTTAATGTTTATAAATTTTAATTTATTTTGTTAAAATTTATGTTGTTGTTATTTATGGTTGTTGTTATTAAATTTAGGTGATGTAGAGCATAAATGAAATATGCAAAATATCAATTAATCTTAGCTAAAAATGGTAATTAGTGACGTTTGTATCAAAAAACGCCGCTATAGTTCTGATGTTTTGCGACGTTTGTTCCAAAAACGCTGCTACAGATCTGACCTTTTACGGCGTTTGTTCCAAAAACGTCGCTACTGAGCTGACCTTTTACGACGTTTGAATACAAAACGCCGCTATAGATCCACCTTTTGCGGCGTTTATTCTAAAAACGCTCGATCTTTTGCGGCGTTTGTGTACAAATCTGACATTTTGCGGCGTTTGTATACAAAAACGCCGCTATAGATCTGACCTTTTGCGGTGTTTGTATAGAAAAACGCCGCTATAGATCTGACCTTTTGCGACGTTTGTTCCAAAAACCCCACTATAGATCTCGATCTTTTGCGGCGTTTGTATAAAAAAACGCCGCTATAGATCTAACTTTTTGCGGCATTTTTAGAAAAACGCCGCTATATATCTCGACCTTTTGCGGCGTTTGTTTCCAAAACGCCGCTATATATCTTGACTTTTTGCGGCGTTTTTATTTCACAAACGCCGCTAATATTAGCGGCGTTGGTATTGCTGGCGCTTATTGCGGCGTTTTTACTATCGCCGCGAGTGCTTTTAGCGGCGCTTAAAAACGCTGCTATAGGACTAAAAAAACGCCGCTAAAACTCTATTTTGCTGTAGTGTGGGCATGTTTTTTCACCTCTCATTGACTTTTTCAATCTTTAGAAGGTTGATACTATTGTTTTGGTGTACTAGATGATGGATGGAACCACTGTCAATGTTGATGTCACTGCACCTGGGGCTATGATAGCTCTTGCTCTAATGTTTTTGAAGGTAACATTTAACATAAACACATTTCGATTTACAATACGTAAGACCTGCTTTATAATGCTTCGTGTCATTGCTCGGAATCTGATCATGTGGGGCAGGTAATTTAATAAATGTCTCAATTATTGAATCATTCATTGTCTAATCTTCTAGTTGTTAGATCTGTGTTTAAGATTATGGTCTCATGATTCATCCTTCTAAATATTGGATTCAGTCCCAGATTCCTGAAATTGTAAAAAATGGTGTCAATTGCCTTGGAAATGATACTATGGATATTGATGAAATGGATGAAGAAACTATTGTACAGAAAATGTCAATATAGTAGCTGGGGCATGTATTTCTCTTGGTATGGTATTCCTGCTGATTCATATGCTATTTACCACGTTTAGTCTTGCATTGCATATTCTCTTATTCATGTGGACACCCCTAGAGAGAGAGTGTATCTTAAGCCTGTCATGAGTAATTGTTGACAGGGTTGAGATTTGCTGGTACAAAGGATGGAAATGCACAAGAGATGCTTTATGAATTTGATGTCTACTTCCTGAATGAGGTCTTACATATTATATGCTATTGCTCAACAAGTACAATTCGTTTTTGATAGATAACGTAAGTAATATTAATGACTGCAGATCAAGCTTGTTTCCACTACAAATAGGAATACCTTCCCCAAGGGTTTATCTCAGTATGTTGACCGAGGCATATTGGAGATGTGCCTTCATCTTATTGTTCTATCCTTGTCTGTGGTAAATGAACTTGATAATTTGATTCCTATTCTTATTTTTGTCATTTTTCCAATTTATGCCAAGTAACAGTGGGTGACTTCTGAGGCCTTTTGCAAGCAGGTTATGTCTGGTTCTGGACATTTACAGACCTTTCGGCTTTTAAGGTTTCTCCGCAACCGAAGCTCTGTAGATGGTCATGCTAACCATGGTATCCAGATGGTGGTAATGTTTCTACGTATTCCATAGTGATGGATCCAATTGAACTATATCAAGTGCTTATTATGTACTTTCCCCCAGCCGATTTAGGATATGATTCATTATATGCCAGTTTTATGATCTCGTGCTTGTCATGAACTCTCAAGTTATTTGGAAATTGCAATTTTTATTCTTAGAATCTATAAGATAAAGATAATATGTTGGTTTATGACCACGGATTCTATAATTGACCTGCTGTGAAAGAAAAACATATTATGTTTATCATGATATATATCATGCCGTGAATATCGCCTGCATTGCCTTGCCAAATGTCCGCTTATCTGTGCGGAGGCCTTATAAACCCTTTGAGCATTAAGGGTTCAATGATTCTTCTTCCATTTCTTCATGGAGCATTAAGAACATCTCTATGGCCAAGCTTTCATCAGAAAACAATGCTAAAGACGTAAGAATGTATGGCTTCTTGGTCACAAGTCAGTGTAGCTTTAAATGAGCTTCTTCCCAGAGACGACTTATATCATGATTTTTTTGCATTAATTTAAATGGACAGTCTAGCTATAACATGCATTCAAACAGCTTGCTTATTTCTAGGGCATCTTAATTTATTTGCATTCTCCGGGTTTTAGGTGAGCTTAGCAATTGGTTTCTTGTTTCTTGGTGGAGGCACGAGGACATCTTCTACCTGCAACTGTTCCATTGCAGCATTGCTTATCACTCTCTATCCACAGTAGCCCACAGGACCCAATGACAACCGTTGTCACCTTCAGGTATGTTAAGATTTTAGTATTAAGGTGTTTTTTGGGTAGCTTAAAATTGATCGGGTGGAAATAGTACATGGTTCAGCACAAGCAATATGAACATTATTTTACTATTGATTTTAGATGGTAATGTCCGGTGGGCTATATTTTCTTGAAGAGACTTGGAATTCTTTTTCACTTTTCCAAATTGGCACATATGCTCTACTTTTACCACTTCTCTATAAGATAATGCATTTTCCAGGCATTCAGACATTTGTATGTCCTTGCAACGGACGCTCGCTGGCTTCAAACTATTGGTGTCGACACTGACCTCCCTGTTTATGCTCCTCTTGAAGTCACAATCAGGGAAACGGAGCATTATTCTGAAACGAGTTTTTGTGAGATTACTCCTTGCATTCTGCCTGAGCGTTCTACTGTAAGTTCAAGATCTGTTAACAGACTTCCAAGGATTTTCATTATTTTCAGACCTTAATTTTCATGGAATAGATTTGGAAGCTGATTAGCATTAAAAAGCTTTCTCTTTATCCAATGGCATTTGTTACTCAGATTCAAATAAAATGATTTGGAAGAAGCATAGTCGGCGGACAAAATGATTATCGAGAGATATGAGGCTAAAATTGCTTGGGAAAGTGCTAGTGAAAGTTGTTCCCCTCTTTCCAGTTTTTCTTCATCGAAGAAGACATTCATCCCGGTGGCTTTCAAAGCTTGGAGTAGTTGGGTGGTGAAGTTAAGGCGCGTGTCTTCACCCCTGAAGCTCAAGAAAACCTGATACTCTAATTGACAAAAAGAGGAGGAAAAATCCTCCAATCGACAAGAAGGGAGCGAAAAATACTTCAATTGACGAGGAAGGAAGAAAGAATACTTCAATTGAAGAGAAGATGACGAAGAATACTTCAATCGGCGAGAAAAGGATGGAGAATAATTCAGTCGACGAGAAGGGCAGAGAAAACACTTCAATTGACGAGAAGGGAAGGAGGAATACTTCAATTTGAAAGAAGAGGAGTTAAAAGAAGAAGCAATGAGGAAGATGGCAGCTGAAACTCGAGGACGGATGGCGGCGATGCCGATAATAGAGATTATGAAAGAGAGTGAATGGATTAGGTCTTGGCCCATGTTGAATGCCTATGACTTCTGGGCCTTTCTATTTTGGTTATTGGTAGTTATTTTCCGGCAAAATTGACCCAATATATCATACGAGTGAAAAGATCAGGTCATCTTCAAAATTAATTTGGGATCCGAGACAAATGTTACAGTGCATGTCAAACTTAGAAAAAATTTAATCCCTAAATGATTAGCCCGTATACAGTATTGGGTCAAAATAACCTTTATTTTCCCACTAAAATTAACAAAGATGGTGAAGTATTATGGTATAATGAATTTTTAATCTTTAAATTTCATACGTTCTATCATCGGATCTTAATTTAAAATAATTCAATAAATTTAATCTTCTTGATATTAAAAAACAATATCAATTTGGTCCTTCTCGCAATTCTCTTTATTCGCTAAAAATGATTGTCCCTTGTTCCCATATGTAATGGGGTAAGAGAGAGGTAAGATAGTAGGCTGCCCCCAACACTAAGTTGAGAGCAACTTCCGTAGGAGACCTCCAAATTATGAAATGTCCTCTATGGGACTCGATCTCACGACCTCAAGGTTAAGAACCTTGTGCTCTACCAACTGAGCTAGATGGTCATTGTCGTCATCAACATCCACTTAACTATAAAAATTAAATGTTTCTTTCACCGGAAAATAGACTAAACTCCAATAATCTAACATGGAGGAATGCCAACTACCACCATTTTTATGAACCACTATAATTTTTGCAAAGCTAATGCTCTACTTTTTTTTATTTTCTCTCGCTGAGTTCATTTTGGGGCAAATATATTGATTGGTTTATGCATGTCTGCTTGTTTGGATTCTTATGCGATGCATTTTAAGCTTTTGCGGGAAAGAGTCTAGAACATGGATAATATATAACAAGCCCGAAGAACCTAATGCAGTTCAAGCAGGACTTCTCCTTTCTCTTGGATTACATGGATTCCTGCGTGTTTTACAGTTTACGGACATACACCGATACTTTTCACAGGTTTCTTTGTTCGCTAAAACGTTCTTCTTGCAATCGATTTAGTTGCAGTACAATCGAGAACATCCGAAATCCGGATACAACCCGGTCCCCAACAAGCAAAACTTATCTGAAAACGTTCTTCTTTGGGGTGATAATGAATGGAACTCTTGATTCTGAATGGAATTCTTTTTGTGATACTATCATGCAAACGTGCAAGAAGTCATCCGTAGTGTCTCAAGAGACACCAAAATCGTCTTGGGAGTTTCTTCTTGATAGCAAATTTCACAGGAACTACTGCAAAATAAATTCTATGATTGGATTGTCTTCTGACGTGGCACTTGACAGGATAGGATTGGATTCAATGAGAAAGTAAACAAATCTCATTGACTTACATGAGGAAGAGAGTGGGAAGAGATTGTGATCGTGGTCGTGATCGTGATTTGAGTTCTTTGAAAGATGAAGCTTGGGAAGCAAGCAACAACGTCAGCCATAGATGCGATACTTGCTTTTAGGAACGTGAAGCAAATCTATTTTTGTAATTTGCTTAGGAATTATTGAATTGATTAGTTTCCCGTAGTGCATGTAGTCTAAACTATTTCGGAAAAAAAAGTAGTGCTATATATTCATCTCTCAGACTCATGTATTTCTGGGTCTGTTCGTTGAAAACTTGCTGTTACTCATCTGGGACTTCTTCTTCGCAATTTCGATTTGTTTATTATTGTATCTTCACTCTTGTTGCTGTAACAATGGATGAGCTTCCCCTACTATACATATATGTAATGCTGAAATTATGACAAGGAAGGAACACACTTGTTGCTCACTGCAGTAGTGGCAATGGATGTTGATATATCTCCTGTGTATTTGGTTATTTCTATCATCACTCATCTTGTAGAATTGATGTGTAGTTTTTTCTCTCCAGAATTTTGGGATTTTGATAAGGAAGGATGCATGATTTTATGTTAATTTCATTCTTTTACTAAAATATTAGTACACTGGAAATTAATCGGACTAAGCACACTGTTTCGATAAAAAAAAGTTCAATCAAAATAAGAATTATTGTTGATGAAGCCCAGGATCCGCATTCAAACTTTTCCACGGAGACTGTTTTTGATATCACATTATTATTAATTTATTATTCTCCATCATCGTTGCTTCTTTTCTAGGCCTTACTTGCTTGGCCCTGTTAAACCCTGGTACGAACAAGCAAAGGGCACTGCATTTGAACTCAACTTCATTACCATCCATAACATGCTAATTTGAAAAAAGCACACTGAAAAATAACATTTGAACCGGACTAAGCACATTAGCACATTGGAAATTAATAGGACTAAGTCCACTGTTTTTAACCGGACTAAGCTTCAAGACTGAAAAACATGCTAATCTAAATTAAGTTTTAAGACTGACTTGTTCCAAATCAGGCAAATATTTAATATCCCCTTTGTTTCCAAGGCACCCCACAGTTTCGAATAAGCACAAGAGAAGAAGATGAGAATACAGGCGCAAATGCTGAGATTTTACTGTCCTGTACTCTTAAAAGTCAAAAATAGGTTTTGTTTATTTATTTATCTTTTAATGCAAAATGACAAAATTACCCTCAGAATTGGGTTGACCCGTCCCCGAGCTTGGCCAGCTGTACCCGCCACCGTGGCACATCCCCGGTACGTCCCCGTTCAGAGGATGTTTCGGGTACTTGAAACATGTAAGAAGTGCCGTCTCCGTGCTTCATAGATGAAGAGAGGAAAAACAAATCAGTCAAAAACAAATCATAGATGAGATTCGTGGCGGATACAACTACGTTAGGATCATTGGCGAATGATACCATGTGATAAAGGCAGCATAACAGGAATGACAAAAGCTAACAAATCTTCCATGACGATAGAATCAGTCAAATGATGCCCTTGAAAACAAACTCCGCCTACAAAAGAATGAGAAAACATAATGAGCAACCATCACAAACTATAATTTCATTCAAGAAATTCAACCCTTAAACAAATCTCCCTTTTTAACGTACAATCACCATAAGCCATTAAATAGAAATGAAAACAGCTTACCTACGCATTTGGATGACATTATTGACAAGTAGCATACCCAAAGACTGAAGGAAGTGGAACTATTTCAATGTTTTAGGCCCTCCATCACCTATTTCACCATCACTGCCAAATCTTCTTTCATTCCCAGATCTTATTTCAGTAGCAGAACCTTCATTGGCTCCCTCAATATTAGCATCTTCTTGAGAACCAGAATTCTGGTTGGATTTGTCCTGTCTCATCATGGTATAATTCCCAGCATCCATGTAAAATATATCAACACCACATTCCTTCACTTTATATCGTTTATACATGTCGAATTCAAATGATGCCTCTTCGTAATTATTGTCAAGTATAATCATATCTTGATTAAACAGAATGAACACATGATCACCCCTGCAACTGCAGATCTCGCCATACCACTCAGGACAAGCGTCATAACTTTTCATCCCGTGCCATCTCTCAAAAACATGGCACTCACTTGTGAACTTTTCACCACTGGCGGCTGTCAGTTGGTATTTACAGATAAATTCAGGATCTCGTTTCACATATGTGAGATCAGCCACAAGGCAGATAGCAAAGGCCAAGAATCTGCTCCCACTAAACCCATTTGGGGGTATCTTCAAATTTAACGAATAATTGATGCTTCTATAATAAAACACACTCTCTGGAACTTCATTTCCTGGGAAACAACAAAACAAACAATCCTGTTTATATTCCTCTCGGGATATCCCTTTCCTCATCCATCTCTGTGCAAGGGAATGAATTTGAAGCATGGCATTTGCTGCAATATTCTCAATTGATTCTTGATTCAAGCTTCTACAGTTGGAGAATAGCATGGAAACGTTTTCCCTATGAGGAGCATCATCACCATCATGTAAAGAATGGAATGAATTCAAATTATGATCAGTGAAGCATACTTTTTCTAATGACCTGCAGTTAGTTGCATCCAAGAACCACAGATATCGTGGAATCTCTAGTAGTGTCTTAAGGCTTTCGCAATGATCAACATCCAACACAAGAAGGGATTCTAACTTTGAAAAATTGCTCAATACATTTTCCACCCTTGAGTGACTCAAAATCAACTTTCTAAGTCTGACAAGATGCTGAATGGAATCAGCCACTTCTGTTCTAGAGCGTGATAGGTCTAACTTAGTAATGCTATTTGGGAGCTCAGGAAGTTCAACCAAACTTTCACACCAGCTACAATCAAGGCTATTAAGGTTGGTGGTTCCTGATAGACTAGAGATCTTCCTTAAATTCATGCAACCATAGAGGTTAAGGCTTTCGAGAGAGGTCAAATGACTGAGGCAGGGTAGTTCAACTAAACTTTCACACCGGCTACAGTCAAGACTTTTAAGGTTGATGGCTCCTAATAAATTAGGTATGTTCCTTAAATTCTTGCAACCACGAAGATTAATTCTTTCAAGAGAGGTCAAATGACTGAGGCAGGGTAGTTCAACCAAACTTTCACACCAGGTACAATCAAGGCTTTTAAGGTTGATGGTTCCTGATAGATCAGGGATCTTCCTTAAATTCTTGCAATGAGAAAGGTTAAGGTTTTCGAGAGATGCCAAATGACTAAGGTAAGGTAGTTCAACCAAATTTTCGTACCAGCTACAGTCAAGACTTTTAAGGTTGATGGCTCCTAATAGATTAGGTATATTCCTTAAATTCTTGCAACCATAAAGGTCAAATCTTTCAAGAGATGGCAAACGACCGAGGCAGAGTAGTTCAATCAAACTTTCACACTCGTGACAGTCAAGGATTTGAAGGTTGATGGCTCCCGATAAATTAGGGATCGTCCTTAGTTTTTTGCAATAAGAAAGGTCAATTGACCTTATATTAACAAGATCCTGTACAATGAAAATATAAGATAACTACATCATTTCATAGCATTATCTATTTATTTTGGACCGTATTAAAAATGAAAAGAAAAATACAAAATACCTGATGATCTTCATTCCAAAGTTGTTCCATATAGCCAAATTTTAACTTCAACACAACAAGATTCTTCGGATTGAAACTTGGTGATAAGGATTTGAAGGGGTAAAACGCCCAACATAGATATTTTAGCTCATCAGGAAGAGATATACTATCAACTCTATTATTCTTGGACATCGAAAGATCAGCACAGAAGTTGATGTATCTAAGGTTAATCATGTGCTCAAAACCGTGAGGACATGATAATAGAGGGTCTTTATTTATTTTGCTGTGGAACTTTATTCCTTCAATTGATGTATTCTCCTAATAACAAGAAATAATTCATCAAATATCGATGTAGAGAAGTTTATGCACATTTCATCAAATTACTCATTAAACAAATATAATTATACTATGAAAGGCTTATACTTACATATAATAAAAAGGAATATAATTCAATTAGCACTTACTTTATTATATCTGAGCACTTGATTCACTTCTTTGAAATCCCATAACCTACTTCGCTTTTCCGGGTCTTTAGATTCTTGGCGAACCTTGTCCTTACCCATCTCTTCAAGCATATCATGCATAGAAATCCTCCTACAAGAATCGATATCAAGTAGGCACTTGTTGAGCAAGGTGTTTATTCCAGACACTGTACCCTCGTACAAGCAACTTAGAATTTCTTCTACTTCTTCTCTGTCTTCCCCTTTAAAGAAGCATGATATATCAAGAAATATATCCTTCTCTATTTCATCTAAATCATCAAAACTACTCATCGAAACCTGTAAAATTTTTGGTTGGGGATATTTCCTTAGCTTATTCACCTCTCCTCCCCACTCTTTTTCAGGAATTGTATGAAGTTTAGAACCCAAAACTTTAAGAACATATGGATTCCCTCCGGCATACCGCGAAATCTTGTTCCAATATGGAAAACCAGCAGGAGGAGAATTCGACTGCTTAAATGCAAATCTAGAAAATAATTGAAGAGAGTCCTTGTCATTTAGCTTTTTCACCTTATATATTTCGTCAGCTCCTCCATTCTTAAGCACTTGTCTATCACTGGACGTAATAATAATTTTACTTCCCTCACCAAAATATTTCACACCCATAAGATTTATATGCTCTGGGTCATTAACATTATCAAGCACGACAATTGATTTTATATTATTGAGCCTCTCTTGGGTTACAGGGCATCCTATGGAGGGGGTGTCTATATCAGTTTCGTTCCCTAGTAGTTTGGAGAGAAGTTCATTTCTTACTGAAAACATCCCTTTATCTTCTATTTGCCTTCTAACATTATGAACGAAGCAACGACTCTCAAACTCTAAGGAGATTTCATTGTAAACAGCATCAACAAGGGTAGTTTTGCCTATGCCATCCATCCCCCAAAGTCCTATTACACGATTTTTTTCTTGGTCAATCAGTCTCAAAATCGTTTCTTTTTGGTCATCTATTCCAATCAAATCATCTGAAACGCTTCTAGATTTGCGATTCAACTTTTTTATGACATCTCGAACGACAACTTTAATGTGTTCAGTTTCAGGTCTGGAAAATATTTGTAAAAATGATTGTCAAGACAAAAACAAATCAAGTATAAGAAGTGGAATAAGAGTATGAAATGTGTGGTTACCTATCAGAATAGCCTCCTTCTATAGGCCACCCTTGTAAGCCAGCAACCTCACCTAAGTTCTCATTCCCACCAAGTTTCAGCACATCAGGTTTAACATGGTAAAAGATGGGCACAACAATATGTTTCTGAGTGCGCTGGCGAGCCATGATACAGGAAAGTTCGGCTAGGCATGATTCCGAAACAGCATAGTCTTTAGATAAAACGACTATTGAGAGGTTTGAGGCTGCAATTGCTTGAGAGATTTCAATCTCTGTCTGGTCATCCGAGATGACATTGATTCCGGTGTCTTCCAGAGCTTTGAGAAGATGACTGCTGAAGTTGAGGCGTGTGTCCTCACCAAAGCTCAAGAAAACCTGATGCTTCATCAACTTTTTTATAGCACATTCAACAATATGCTCGATGTGCTCAGTCTCAGGTCTAGCAAAAAAAAAAAAAACAATATGTCTATATCAAATCGAAAACAAAGTTAAGTCAAGTAAAAGAAGAGCAGAAAGAATATGGGTACCTGTCCCCTGTTATATGAACTCCTTTTAATGTTCCGACTTGAGCCAAGTCAGCTTTCCACTGCTTCACTTTCTGCTGCTTCAATTTCCACTGCTTCAATTTCTCTTCGCCACCTTGTGGTGGTTGCTTCGTTTCATGGGCGTCAAAGGATTTTTGGAAAGTACCACTTATATTTTGCACATCGGAGGGATCAACATGGAAGAAGATGGGAAGAACAATATGTCCTTGATTGCGCTTGAGATCCATGATCTGAGAGAGTTCTGTTAAGCATACATCCGAAGAAGCATAGTCGGCAGACAAAATGATTATTGAGAGATTTGAGACTTCAATTGATTGGGTAAGTTGTCCTAAAAATTGCTCCCCTTTTTCAAGTTTTTCTTCGTCGAAGAAGACATTCATTCCGGTGTCTTTCAAAGCTTGGAGTAGTTGGCTGGTGAAGTTACGGCGTGTTTCAAATCTGAAGCTCAAGAAAACTTGATACTTCCATTGACGAGAAGAGGAAGAATCCTTCAACTGAAGAGAAGAGGATGAAGAATCCTTCAATTGACAAGAAGGGGAGAAAGGATACTTCAATTGACGACAAGGGAAAACTGTTGTGACGAAGGAAGAACGAGGAGGGGAGTGAAAACACTTCAACTGACGAGAAGGGAAGGAAGAATACTTCAATCGAGGAGAACGGGAGAGAAAACTGTTGAATTGACAAGAGGAGAAGTTAACAGAAGAAGCCATGAGAAAGATGAAAGTTGAAACTCGAAGAGGGGTTCAACAGAGTGAATGTGAATTGTAAGATGCTGGGATTCCTTTCAAAGACAACTTTAAGCACACGGTGGTTGGTGTGCAAACCCATACATTATTTGTTTAATAATCCATTTGTCAATTGTTTTTTCACTAAAACCATACCAAATTCGGTGGACGCGTTATTAGTTTATTTGCTGCTTTTGACCACCAAATGGACAAAACGATGATGCGAATAAAGAGACTTCAAATCCTTTTCACACAAACAATTACCAGGAAGCTACATACAGCGAGATCTTTCCTTTTAAGTTTAATGAATGGATTCAATGATACGAACCAATTATCTGAATGACATTTTGGCCAAGAGAAAGCAATTGTGGTGTCAAAATATAAAGCTTTATAGTTGAATACACCAATTGAAAATATGACAACACTTAAATCACTAAAATAAATTTAATAGTATATTTATAATTGGTTTAAGATTTTAATATTTTTAAACTAAATTTATTGTTTTCATATTTATTTTTCATTGATTATATACATATAATCATTAAAAATAATTTAATATTTATATTATAATAATTATAAATAAATATAAAATAAATAACTTTAATTTAAAAATATTAAAATCTTCAATTAGTTATAAATAATATATTGGATTTTTAGAAATTTAAGTGTTATCATATTCTCAATTGGCCTAGATTTATGTTCTCACTTGTCTATTTCTATCATTAATCATAATATGTAATATATAAAAAAAATTGTTAATTGATTCCTAAATATTAGATTTATCCTATTGATTAATGATTTGCTTGGTTACTAATTGATCTCGGGTTTAAATTCAATTAAGTTATTTTAGTTTTATTTTTCTGCCTAAACTTGAACAATTTATAAAACATATGTATTATCTTGATAATAAGTGTGAGAATTGGCTCGAAGATTAATTCTAAAATCTAGGGGATTCAATCTAAAAATTTAACACATGACTAGAATAAAATATTTTAAAGTTAATGCTCAAAGCATTATACAAATTAAAAACAAAATCAAGATCAAATTGCATTAAATGAAAATCCAAGGAAACAAATCATATACAAATAGTGACCAAAAAGGAAGAAAACAAAGCAAGGTTCCAGTGCCGTGAATATGTAACTTTACAAGGACTCCTGCTCTAGTTATACCAATTTTGTCAATTGCCGCATAGTCACGTTCTTTAAGTGCTAATGACAGGTGGCTATATCGAACCCATTTAAATATCTCAGTGGTCATATTGACGCAAATTTAAAAATAGTAGTCATTTCGCGACCCAACCCATATTTATATGATCATTTATGTACTTTGCCCTTTCTTATAATATCTCTCTACATTTAATTATACGGAGACAGGTTTTTATAAAGGCAAGAGCATTGTCAAGTTTACTTGGTAAACTACGCTTCATTTTTGTATAATATTTTTGCATTTAATTCTATGAAGAAAGGTTTTTATAAAGATAAGAGCATTGTCAAGTTTACTTGGTAAACTACGCTTCATTTTTTAATAATATTTTTGCATTTAATTCTATGAAGAAAGGTTTTTATAAAGATAAGATCATTGTCATGTTTACTAATAAATTACGCTTCATTATTTTATAATATTTCTACATTTAATTACATGAAGAAGTATAAAAAAGAAAGGAAAAACGAACAACATTTCAAAGGTTAGGTGCACGATTCATTTTAATTCCACAAAATCAGCGTTAGTTTAATCATTTAATAAATGATATAATAAAAATGAATTGTAATATTTGAAGTCAAAGGATTACATTCATATGTAAAGTTCAAATCATATAAAATTAATTTAATTTAGGGTTCAAACGTTGTCATATAAAACATCGTGTCATAGTATAAGAACAAAAGATAAATATGAAAGAGTGTTCGAACTCATCCATAAAGTGTTCATCAAAGATACATCATATGTATTTTAAGGACAGTGACAAATACACGTCTTGTTGTCTATCTTGAAATTTAAATTTTCTTCGATTAATTATCTATTATATCGATTAATTCCATCTTGAAATTTTATTTGTGTCATCATGCACAAATATTTTACGATGTTGTTAATATATATGTATTCCCGTCTTTAAAATTATTTTTGAATCTGTCACTAAGATCACAACCTTAATAAATAAAATTTCACATTAGTCTTAATTTCTAATTAGTCTATTATCAATTACTTTGATAGTGATAACTTCTGCATTACTGGCATCAGAAGCAATTAAATTCTTAAGGACCCTAATCAGAATCACAAAGTAAGAGTAGTTTTCAATTTGGAAATTTACCAATGCATTTGGATGGCAATATTGTGAAGTTGCATCTGCATACACTAACAAAGATTAAAAGCAATGAAAAGTCCCCCCATCCCCTTGTTCACCACCCATAGCTAAATCTTCTTTTTGCATCACAACTCATCACATCACTAATGCTATTACTCTCTGCATCCACGTAAAATACATGAACTCCACGTTCCGACACTAATTTTTTTCTCCAAAACGATTTCTACCAAGTTGACCTTTGATGTAGAACTGAAATGATGTCTCATAATAATTATCGTCTCTTATAATCATATCCTCATGGTGTAATTTACTCTTTTTCCTTCTCTTCTTCATTTTTTCTCTGTCCGCCACCACGTTAATTTCATTATGGCCACCGTCGACCACCGTATATGGTGGCCGTTCAGTCCCAAATTTCATGGGTCAGTTCGTCTCGACCCCCTGAGTCCGAATATATGGTTGATTCACCAAAAAATATCCCAAAACCCGTCAATTTGGATTGAAATGTTTCAATTTTCTCATTTCAATCTCAAATTCATGGACTTCGAAATAATTTCTGACAAAATGGAGGTCGAATACAAACTCAAGGTGTCGAGGTTAAGCGACCATCCCGTTTTGGGACAAAACGACCACCATTTACATGGTTGATGGTGGCCAACAGTGGCATCCGACCACCTTCTGTTTTTATTTTATTTTTTAATTAGTTTATATTAAATAATAATAAAAAATGTCACATCATCAACTGTTAGAGAGAAAACGATTGAGTGAGCAAAATGATTCAATTGTAAAGTTCTCATTTTAAATTGGTCCATAAACTTTTCAATATTTCAATTTTATCCCTAAATGTTGACTCTTATTCTAAATTAGTCCTTAAGCTTTTGATCATTCTAATTTCATCCATAACTTATGACCCTCTTTTTAAATTGATCCCAAAACTTTTGAATATTCCAATTTCATCCACAAATTCACCCAATTATGTAATTAGTTTCAACCATGGTTTAACCTATTTTTTTTACATATAATGATATAACTTGGCCTAACGATTTTATTAACAAGGGTTGTGATCAATATATATGTATAGTTTGTGATGAAATTAGAATGTGCAAAATCTTTGAGGACCAATTTAGAATAATGTCATAGTTTGGGGATGAAATTAAAATATTCAAAAGTTAAAGAACTAATTTAGTATGATAATCATAGTTTAGGAATGAAATTGAAATATTTAAAAGTTTAGGGACTAATTTGAAATGAGAGTCATATTTTGAGGACATGTAATGCAATTAACTCTTATTATAAATATAAGAGCTTTGTGAAGTTTACTTATAAACCACGCTTCATTTTCTTATAATATCTCTATATTTAATTCTATGAAGAAAGGTTTTTATAAAGATAAGAGCATTGTCAAGTTTTTTTTTTTGAAAAAGGGGTATTTTGTATTAGATAAACACAAAAGTAAACCACTCCAAAGGACCTCATTAAAATACCTCCCTAGGAAAAAGAGTAACCTTGGAGTGGAAACCAATCAGCCAATGTATCAAATACATCACAGCAAGAGTCCGACTCTGCACCACTAAAACAACCCATAACAACCTAAATAATCTGCAGACTACACACTGAATGAAACACTAACAAAACTTACGCACAGTCAAGCAGGACCCAAATCGAACTACAACCTCAGAATAAAAACCATTAAAGCCACAACCTTACTAATGTAACACAAGAATCAAAATTTCAAACACCTTCATGAAGACGAGAACAATAGAAAAAACAATAGTCTTGCTTAGTACGGAGCTGAAGCTTGTTGAATGGGAACCAACGAACAACAAGGAACCTGAGCAATAAAGGAGCATCCAAGACTTCTAAGCTCTGCAAATCCCACCCCAAAGCAACGGCAGCCGCTAGAGCCAACTCAGCTTCATCATAATCGCCTCGAACTCCCTCATAATACACTTCATCTCTGCCTCCAACAAGATTGCATCTGCTACTAACGTTAGGCCAACCACCTCGACACCTACGATCAAAGGTTTTCCTCTTACCAAAGATAAGTCTTGAAGACGCTCTCAGACTGACTCCACACGCCCACCTTCTTCTAGCCTTAGAAACTCTCACAACACCCAGACTGGGAAGAATAGGCCTCTTAATATTAACGCAATTAGCTACCGGATGATCCTCATCCAACACGAGGGGAGAAGACACCTCAAAATCCACGTCAAAAAACCCAGTACTGGTGGGGATGGGTAGAGACGCCCATACTGGATCCAATCCCCTATTGATATTAATAAAACCCGCACTATCGTCGAAAACATGCTGCTCACTACTCCACTCCACTTTATCAGCAGCAAGTTGTCCCCCATCATCCATAAAACCATTAACTTTATCAATAATATCATGCTCCTCACGCAGCCCATTAACAGAGGAGAAAGGCACAACATGGAGCCCTGCACAGTCCATGTTGTCCACAACAAGCTGTCCCCCATCCTCCAAACATCCAATGGTTTCGACGCAACTCTGACTCACCAACTTTCCATGATCGTGCGCGACAGAACCCCCCACGATACCACCTCCTGCAGCACCCACCATCTCGTAGACAGAAGAGATTGAACCTTTGTCAAACTCCGCACGGCACGCTCTACCAACCACCTTGGTTTCCTCAGGAATGCCTTTCGCCTCTCCCAGTATTTCAGAATAACGATAATGGAGAAAAAATGACCATCAACGACAATGAAAATTTTTTCTGGAATAGATGATAAGGAGTGCACTTCCAACAAAACTCTAGCAACATCAAACTTAACTCGATTTACAGTATCATCTTCTATCTTAAGTGTTGGTTTTTGGCAAATATCCCACATTGGTTTTGTATAAGGAGGAGGGGAAATTCTTTTGTTAGAAATAGAGCCCTCCTCCTCCTTAGTTTAGCATCCCTCAAATATAAGTCTTCTTCTATATTAAAGGCTATTTGTATTCTTTCTTTCTCTTTGTAATATTTCCTCTATTAGTGAAATATTATTTTACTAGTGTTCGAGGAGGTAGGCATAATTTTGGCCTAACCTCGTTAAATTTTGGTGTTCTCTTTATGTCTATTTAATAGCTATTGTCTGGTATAATTGTTGTTAATTATTGTCCTATGAAAATTACTTGTCTTGGTAGTTCTGTCTAAGGAAAGTGGGTTTTAAGAGGGACCATTGTGACCCCTCCTCTTTCCTGGGAATCTACCTTGGGGTGATTTTTAGTACAATCGTTTTCACACTAGTCACCTAGATAATAGTTTAAAGGTGAATCTGTTATTGGTGGAAATTAACCCAAATTCCACAACAATTGGTATCAGCGCTCTTGGTTTATTTTAGTATGCTCTGTGGTTGCGGCTTAGGCTGATCTTTCACATCAGAAAAAATTTCCTTGGGATAATTGGCATTCCGCATTGACAGCTATTAAATAGAATTTGTAGCAGAAATGACAGACACAACAAAAACATCCACAACGTCGTCAACAGATGTGACAAATGTTAGATTTGCAGTGGAGATTTTTTATGGCACCAGTCATTTTGGCATGTGGCAAAGTGAGGTTCTAGATGACCTATTTCAGCAGGGTCTAGACATTTCTATTGAAGGAGAGAAACCAGATGATGTTAAGGAGAAAGAATGGAAGATGATCAATAGATTGACATGTGGTACTATTCAATTGTGTCTTTCTAGAGAGCAGAAGTATGCATTTTCTAAGGAAACTTCTGCAAGTAAATTGTGGAAGGCATTGGAGGAGAAATTTTTAAAGAAAAGCGGTCAGAACAAGCTCTACATGAAAAAGAGATTGTTCCGCTTCAACTATATACCAGGTACCACTATGAATGATCACATTACTAGCTTTAATCAGCTGGTGAATGATCTGATGAATATGGACGTGACTTTTGAAGATGAAGATCTGGCTCTGATGTTGATGGGATCACTTCCTGATGAGTTTGAGTATCTTGAAACTACTCTACTTCATGGAAAGTTGATGTGTCTCTCAGTGAAGTAACTACTGCCTTGTATAGTTATAAATTGAGAAAGAAAGACAAACAAGAAAACACAAGTGTCGAAGCAGAAGCTCTTGTTGTCAGAGGCCGTTTGAAGAGTCAGGATAAAGGAAGGAGAGGGAGATCGAAGTCAAAGTCCAGATTGAGCAAAGATGGATGTGCCTTTTGTCGAGAAAAAGGGCATTGGAAGAAGGAATGTCCCAGGCTAAAGAACAAAGGCAAACATGAAAGGGGAAAGACTGTCTTAGAATAAAATGTGGTTGAGTATGATGATGCAGATTCAGATTCCGCATTCGCTGCTACGCCATCAACCAGTTGTTCTAGTTCATGGCTGCTAGATTCAGCTTGTAGCCACCATATGACCCCCAATAGAGAATGGTTCTTTGATTTTAAAGAACTAAAAGGTGGAATTGTCTACACAGTAAATAATTCCCCTCTTGACACACTTGGGATTGGTTCAATTCGCTTGAGGAATCAGGATGGATCAATCAGAACCTTAACAAGTGTCCATTATGTACCAGATTTAATGAGAAATCTCATCTCTGTGGGAACCTTAGAGTCAAAAGGTTTAGAAGTGAGGGTAAAAGATGGGATTATGAGGATTATCTCTGGTGCACTGGTGATAATGAAGGGAATCCGAAAAAGAAACAATGTGTATTACTTTCTGGTAGTACAATTGTAGGGACAGCAGCAGTGGCAGCTTCTACTGATGAACAAGAGTCAGAAGCAACCAGGTTATGGCATATGCGCTTGGGCCATGCTGGTGAAAAATCTTTGAAATTACTGATAGATCAAGGATTATTGAAGGGTGCTCAGGCTTGCAAATTAGCTTTTTGTGAGCATTGCATCAAAGGGAAGAAAACGAGGGTGAAATTTGGAACAACAATCCATGATACTAAAGGTATTTTGGATTATGTTCATTAAGATGTATTGGGGACTTCCAAGACAACTTCATTGGGAGGAACACACTATTATGTCACCTTTGTTGATGATTTTTCCCGGAGATTTGGGTGTATACATTGAAGACAAAGGATGAGGTGCTAGGATTTTTCCTTAAATGGAAAAAGATGGTGGAGACTCAAACAGGTAGAAAAATCAAACGTCTCCGTACAGACAATGGTGGAGAGTACAAAAATGATCCATTTCTGAAAGTCTGTGAAGAAGAAGATATTGTCAGGTGCTTCACTGTCAGAAGTACACCACAACAGAATGGGGTGGCAGAGCGTATGACCCGAACATTAGTGGAGAAGGTTCGGTGTATGACCCAAGAATTTTGGGCTGAGGCTTTGGTCTATGCTTGTCACCTTGTCAACCGCTTACCATCGACTGCTATTGGTGGTAAAACACCATTAGAGAAATGGTTTGGAGTACCTGCTACAAATTATGATTCCTTACATGTGTTTGGTTCCACTGCATACTATCATGTTAAAGAGTCAAAGTTGAATCCAAGAGCAAAGAAGGCGATCTTTATGGGGACCTCTGGTGTGAAAGGCTATTGTCTTTAGTGTCCAGAAACAAAGAAAATAATCTTCAGCAGGGATGTTACCTTTGATGAATCTACCATGTTGAGAAAGGTGACTTCAGAAAAATTGGAGCAGACAAATGGAACTCCCAAACAGGTGGAGTTTGAAAGAAGCAGAATTGACCCAGCCAGTAAAGAAACTGGTATTAACTCTCCTATGGTAGAAGAAGAATCAGATGAAGAAGAGGTTCAGACCCAAGAACCTCCACAGCAACATGAATCAATTGCACTCAGAAATGGAAAGAGGACTATTAGACAACCTGCTCGTTATGTTGATATGGTCTCTTTTGCATCACCAATTGCAATCGATGACATTCCTGCCACTTTTAATGAAGCAGTCCAAAGTTCAAAACATAAAAAGTGGAGGATCGCCATGAATGAAGAAATGCAATCCCTTCAAAAGAATTAGACGTGGAAACTAGCTAGTCTTCCGAAGGGAAAGAAAGCAATTGGGTGCAAGTGGGTATATGCAAAGAAAGATATATTTCCTGACAAGAATAACATCCACTACAAAGCAAGATTAGTGGCTAAAGGCTACGCTCAAATGGAGGGAGTTGATTATAATGAAGTATTTTCTCCAGTTGTAAAACATTCCTCTATCAGAATTTTGTTGGTTTTGGTAGCACAGTTGGATTTGGAACTAGTTCAGATGGATGTAAAAATTGCATTTTTATATGGAGACTTGGATGAGGAAATCTACATGACTCAGCCAGATGGATTCAAAGTTGCTGAAAAAGAAGAGATGGTGTGCAAATTAGAAAAATCGATGTACGGATTGAAGCAATCTCTAAGGTAGTGATTCAAGCGATTTGACAAGTTTATGATAGGGCAGAAGTACACAAGAAACAAATATGATCATTGTGTGTATTTACGCAAGCTACAAGACGGATCCTATATATATCTTATTCTTTATGTTGATGATATGCTGATAGCTTCCAGGAGTCAGACAGAAATTGCGAAACTAAAGACTCAATTGAACAGGGAGTTTGAGATGAAGGATCTTGGTGAAGCAAAAAAGATTCTCGGCATGGAGATATCAAGGGATAAGAAATCGGGGAGGTTTTGTTTGTCTCAGAAAGAATATATGAGGAAGGTACTAAAACGTTTTGGCATGAATGAGAAGTCAAAACCCGTTAGTACACCTTTGCTCCTCATTTCAAGCTTGGTGCATCTATGTCACCTAAGGATGATGCAGAATGGGAATACATGTCAAAGGTTCCATATGCAAGTGTTGTTGGTAGCTTGATTTATGCAATGGTGTGTACGAGACCCGATATTTCACAGGCAGTTGGGGTTGTGAGCAGGTATATGCATGATCCTGGAAAGGAGCATTGACAAGCTGTGAAATGGATTCTGCGGTATATTCTGAACACCGTAGATGTTGGTTTGGTCTTTCATCAAGACAAACAAGATGGTCAGTGTGTAGTTGAGTATTGTGATTCAGACTATGCAGGTGATTTGGACAATCGTCGATCAACTAATGGTTATGTGTTTACTTTTACAAAGGCACCAGTCAGTTGGAAGTCCACCTTACAGTCAACAGTGGCTTTGTTTACTACAGAGGCAGAGTATAAGGCAGTTACAAAGGCTGTGAAGGAGGCAATTTGGCTTCAAGGGTTGCTTGGTGAATTGAGAATTGAACAGAAGCACATCAAAGTGCATTGTGACAGTCAGAGTGCTATTCATTTAGCAAAGAACCATGTTTACCATGCAAGGACGAAGCACATCGATGTTCGATATCACTTTGTACGAGAGATTCTAGAAGAAGGTGGAGTCATAATCCAGAAGATTCGGACCACTGAGAATCCTACTGATATGTTGACAAAAGTGGTAACTGCGGTCAAGTTTAAACATTGTTTAGACTTGGTCAATATTGGTACATATTGAAAGATGAATTTGCAGACACTACTGAAGATTGGATTTTTTAGAGACGTGTGTGGAATTTGCCAAGGTGGAGATTTGTTGGTTTTTGGCAAATATCTCACATTGGTTTTGTATAAGGAGGAGGAGAAATTCTTTTGTTATAAATAGAGCCCTCCTCCTCCTTAGTTTAGCATCCCTCAAATATAAGCCTTCTTTTATATTAAAGGCTATTTGTATTCTTTCTTTCTCTTTGTAATATTTCCTCTATTTGTGAAATATTATTTTAGTAGTGTTCGAGGAGGTAGGCATAATTTTGGCCTAACCTCGTTAAATTTCGGTGTTCTCTTTATGTCTATTTAATAGCTATTGTCGGGTATAGTTGTTGTTAATTATTGTCCTATTAAAATTACTTGTCTTGATAGTTCTGTCTAAGGAAAGTGGGTTTTAAGAGGGACCATTGTGACCCCTCCTCTTTCATGGAAATCTACCTTGGGGTGATTTTTAGTACAATCGTTTTCATACTAGTCACCTAGATAATAGTTTAAATGTGAATCTGTTATTAATGGAAATTAACCCGAATTCCACAACATTAAGCACTCGACCCCACAAGCTTCCAATAGCGTTGAACAGCTGAACACTCCAAATCGAAGAAGGAACATCTAATAGTGAGACCCACACTTTATATTTGAGCCTATTAACATAACCCTCCAACATATCCAACTCCTCAAACCAAGAACGAATCCAATCGTCTCTTTTAACCCAACAAGCCTAACAATCAGTAGTATTCTTGTAGACACCCATTTTTGTCAGACCCGGTTACAACACCACAACCGAGCTGCCCACATGAAATCTACAACAAATCCACCAAAGTCAAAGAATCATTTATCCACCGAAAGTTTAAGCAATTTTCCAAGTTAAAAGCAAAATACCTAATCCATTACCTACCCTCACTATTCCTACCTAATGATGCAACAAATGAATAAAGAAGGGAAAAAGATAAAATGACATTCAATGATAAAATGAAGATGCAATTATGATGGAGAGAGGGGGGTTCTCGGCCAGCAAAAACAAACCAGAAATTAAAAAAATGCTCATCAACACGTGGAGAAAAACGATGTAAAGAGGAGGGTTCTGCTCCCAATAGTCGAATTAAGCAGTGTAAACCAAGGGTATTCCTCCCTTCTTTTCATCAATAAAAAACAGTAGCAATTTCTTTAGGTATTGAGTTTCATTTTTAATCCCCGGTGTGTGGTTTGTGTGTGTGGATGTTTTCGAAATATACAAGAGGGATTTAGAGTCGATTTACCTGGGGTATTTTGGTAGTCACCGGAGTCAAGAAAATTTGGGATAGTGGGGGTTGAACGTTGGAAAAGGAAACTGAAGAGTCTAAGGACTTAAAGGTTCAAATCCAGGCTTGCAAGTAGATTATAAGTTAGTTTTTTAGATCTGTTTTTTTATTAAAAAAAATAAAGAGTAAGAGTAATAGGGGGTCTCGATCTAACTTACCTTGCTATGTGAGTGTCCATCATCGGAATCGATGGTCCTAGGTCGCCGAAAATGGGAAAGTCAGGGCCTTTGGTCGTGTTAGGGGCTGTTTGGAGGAGGTCTCTTTTCCCTTTTATTTTGCGAGAGTCGGCCGAGTGTAGAGCTTGAGAGGAGTGACTATTAGGTTTAGTTTAATATTAGGTTTAGTTTAATATATATATTGGTAATTTTAGGGTAAATTAATGTTAAGTCACCGTGACCTTAAGGGTAAATTAGGTTTAAATCTTCCTAGGTTTAGCGCTTATTTATAATTTAGTCACTTGTAGGGCTTGATTTTGAATTTATTTTTTTTATTTGTCTCGATTTAGTTATTTTTCAGTTTTAGTTTTTAGATGTAATTTAGTTGGGTTATTTAGGTGTAGATCCCTTATTTTTATGCATTTTTTATTTAAGTATGCTTTAATTTTTTTATTTATATGTTTAATCTTAGGTACATTTAAATTTAGTATTATTTTAATGTGTATATGTGTATTTCTTTGTTTTGATTTTAGTTTGACATGTTAAGTTTTCGTTCTTGTGTTTAAGTCTCATTTGTACATTACATATTAATGTATATAGTTTATAATTTTAAATTTTAAAAGTATGCATTTTTTTTATTAGAATGTAGCATAAAATGATATTTTTATATATTATTTAATAGTTATATAATTATAGTATTTTGTTTAATTAATTATTTGCACGCAAGCCTATATGTATTTATATTAATTAAATGTTAATTATTAACTTTTGGACTTTTGTTACATTATTGATTGTTTATGAAATTGGCATTAATAACCCACGTTGTGAATTCATGTTTTATGATATTATTTATATAATAATGCAAAACCTACCTCTTTTGGAGCTTTTTCATATCTGCCTTGAAAAAGCTAGACCATTGCCTTAAGATTGATGTTCCTTAAGATTGATATATGTGATTAGCATGTATATATTATATCCTTAAATGTTATTTTCAACTTTAGGTAAATAATATTAGTATTATTTGTAGTTATTAATTGATTTATCATAAAAAAATATTGATTACATGTTAGTATAATTTTAATAAGTTTTTTAGGGTATAGTTATATGTATATTTTAGACTAAAATATTTTTTTTCAAATGTTTGACATTATTTAATTAGTTTTCTCATGTTATCCTCATATGCATAACTCGGCCTAATCACATAATAAATTAGGGTAATACTCTTTTAATTTAAAACTATCGGAGTGACTTTTCTTAACTTACTGGAAAGTTATTTTTGATGATTTTAAATTACAAGTGTATCTCATTAGTGATATCTATGAAATTGATTGATCATTTTAAAATTTGGGAATGGAATAAAAATAAATGTTCGACTATTTAAAATTATCGAGAAAAGGTTGTTATAACTATTTAAGATCTGGTCTTGATATTTTTAAATAATCGAATATTCTTTATCTTTTTAATGGTTGGGTAATTTTAATTTAATTTATTTGGGTGCTTTTGAATATTATAAAATTCATATGTTGTTTTGTTGGGGATCAAAAATTAAATTAAAGTTGAACTTGTGAAATTCGTTGCAAAGACATTAATTAATCGACTAGGTACCAATTTAGGGTGTTGTGGGGTTGTTAATCCTTCCCCACACGTAATCAATTCCCGAACTCGGATTTTGATAACACATAGATCAATTTGTTATTTTAATTAAAATTAATTTTTATTTAAAATGACAACGTTTTTTGGTGCCCAATCACACCCTAATCAAAGATTGGTGGCGACTCCTCGAACCATACATTTTATTTTAAAAAGAAATCCCAAAATTTTCGAAACGAGAGGTTTTCTAAAATCACATTGTTTTTAAATAAATTCAATCAAAAGAAATAAATTAAAAATTGGTGTGGTTTTCAAAATCACGCCCCACATTTAAAAATCGTTTCGACAGCTTGGCGACTCCATTGGGGACTTTTTTTAGAGAGTCACGCCGATAGTTGATTAATTAATTGTCTTTGCAAACGAAAAGTTATAAGTTCTTTCTAATTTGGTTTTTTATCCCTGGTTTGTTTTAAATTGTTTGTATTTTAATTTACGATTTGAGTAACAAATAAATAGTTGTATTAACGTGTGATTTACATGTTTCAGTTTTCTGACCTTCATTTTAGTTTGTTGATTTTCTTTGATCGAGGCAAAGGATTATGGGTTTCCCCTTATTGTCGCTATAACCTTTCGATATTTAGAGCCTTCTAACTGTGCTCTGTCCCGTTAAGTAGGGGTGAACGCTATGCTTACGTGAGAAAATTTACTTTTCTCCGCATGGGCTTTAGCAAGTAACCTCTGGGGTACACGCCTTATGTTTACGAGTGAAACATTGAGTTTCCTCGCATGGACATAGGGAAATGTATCCTCTCGAATTGAACTTGACTCGTTTAAGCCTATAATGGGTGAGGGTCGAGGGTCTGGCAAGCCCAAGGGGGCACCAACAAAGGACAATTCGAGGACCCTTTTAGTGATACCAAAACTCTGCCCATCTTATGTTGAATCTCTGTCCGTAGACATAAAGGGGAAACTCATTCTAACCTTTTCTTCGAATTTATTTTTGCAATAAGTATGAGAACTAGAAAAATATGTGGTTAGGCTTTATATTTTTGTACAAAGCATGTGAATTAGATACCATGCGGTTAGGATTTTTTGTGAACAACAAAGCATAAGGGTAGATATCATGTTGGGTAGGATCTATTAAAGCATGATTGAGTAGCTAGCATGTAAAGGTAGGTTTTATTTGATGTTTTTATTACTTATTTATCTTGTTGTTTATCTTATGTGTACTAAACCATTTGTATGATGTGTCTATTTTATTATGATTTTATTGCATTTGCATATTCATGTCATCAAGGGGTGTTAATTCGCAAGTGATTGACTAATAAGAAGGCATATTGAAGCAAGAAATTCTCATCCATGTAGTCAAAATTGGGAGATCAGAAGATGTTCAGGCGATCCATGAAGAAGGACATCCGATGAATAAAGAAACCTGAAGCTGATTAGAGAATTCCTTTAAAAGCGCAAAGGCCAAGATGCTGACTCAAAAGATAGATATAGCCATACCAAGGACGAGAAGACCCTTCACAAAGGCATGAAGACCACTTCGCATTGGAGGTAAGAATGAAAATTTCAAGATTCAATTTAAAGACATCCGACGTCATCAAAGGCGATGAAATACACCGAAAATTTTAGAGGTACAATACCAGATCCCATGAAGAGTACGACTCAAGGAAATGAAGAGATGAAGAATCGCGATTGTATTTTGACTACATGGTGTACTTACTGAATTCTTGTTGTCTAAGTGAACAATTGTTTTATAGGTGGTCACTTTTGGGATTAACACCTCGTGCATTTGTATCTGCATTTGCATTCTTATTTTTGCATTACCTTATTAATTTATTTATTTTGATATTGTTACTATTTTTCATTTTGTTATCTTATTTGTACTAACTTGTTTTTAGGTGGTTTTTCTTTTTGTCTGCATTGCATGATCATGACATAATTAAAAGGTGTTGATTTGTGAGTGGTCATCAGAGTAGAAGGTTTTCATGATGGACAAGGGGTTTCATGATCAAGCAGGCTATAATACAACTAAGAAATGGCATCAAAAGAAGGCTTCGAGGATAATCGAAAGGTCTGCACCTGAAGATCACATGGCAGACGAGGAGAAAAAGGAGATAAGAGAATTGAAAGAGTAGATATCGAAGATGATTGATAGAATAGATGCTTTGGCCAGAGGAAGAGAGACCTCTACAAAAGAAAAGAGAGAGCTCAATAAAAACGATCTTGAGGTGTCAAATATGCAAGAGACTACCTTAGAGCCTACTGATTCTAGCCAGTATGGGAAGCCACGCACAATCATTGTTCGTATCAACAAGCTGTTTGGAAATGACAGGGAAATAATGACAACTCTAGAAGTTCAGAATGATGAAAAGAAATCGTGCAATCAGAAATCATTGGTGTGTGATAGTCTACTCCCAACATCAGAGGAAGTAAAGCTTGAAGCTCCAGTTCAATCCAAGTTGAGAGGTGGCTCTCATTTTGATTTTATCCCAATATCATATAAGGAGTTGTATGATGAACTGTTAGAAGCCCAAGAAGTAGCCCCACATTATGTGAAACCTTTGCAGCCTCCATATCCACGTTGGTATGACATCAACGTTCGTTGTGATTATTATGCTATAGTTCAAGGACATTCTATCGAGAATTGCTCTACCTTCAAGCGTCGAGTTCAACATCTTCTAGATCATGGAGTATTGGAGTTCAAATTAAAAGATCAACCTAGTTTGGTAACGGATTATCATGTTAAGTTTGAACCAAAAGAGACCAAAGGTAAGGGTATCAGTGAGGATGTCTAGGAGGAAAATTGTTTACCAAAGTACGAAGCTCAGATTCGTCATCTAGGAAGTGAAAATGATAAATTGAGTAGAGAGATGGAAACCATGCAGGATGTTTTCCAAAGGATCGGTCAAGCTTTTAAATTTGCTAGTATAGGAAATGTCCTAGAGGAGTAGATAGCAGCGGTCGTTAAACTGAAGAATAACGCTGAACAGTGGAAAAAGAATTGCAAGATGCACGAAGGTCAAGCCGAGAAGTTTTATCATGATCTACAGATTGCAAAGAAAATGCACGATACAACTATCAATGATTTGGGTAGATATCAAGTTGAAAATCAGACGTTGAACAGGTCCATTTCTAATATGGAAATTTCATATCAACGCCACAAGCGGGAGAATGAAGTCGAGCTAGAAGCCACTAGAGCCAAAAACAGGAAGTTGATGAAGATGGTAGATGATTGTAGTGATCTTATGCAAGAGTTTCATAACCATAATGACTTTCTTATAAGGAAAAATAAAAAACAGTGTCTGTAGCTCCGAGAATTAGCGCTTAAGATAGAGAAAAGGGACAAAGTCATGAAAAAAGCTATGACCCAAGCAAGCGATGTGGCTCACAAATGGGTTGATTTAGCTGGCTTTGCAAGAGAATTGAAGCAGATTGACAACTCAACCCCTAAGCATGAGTGGAAGTTACATTGGCTTTTAAAGGAGATTGAAAAACTACGAGTGAAAGTTGTCTATTATCTGTAAAAGTTTGCTTGATGTACCGAAACCTTTGTGTTTAATGAAAGTTGTTTTAAGATGGTCACTCTGGAATGACACCTTTTGTATTTGCATTTAGCGTTTGCATTGCATGTATTTATTTAAGCATTTTATTTGCATTAATTACGAAAACATGGAAATAACTTATGGAAGATTATGTGACAGTAATAACAAGATCATTCATTTATACTACTTCCTCATCATCATGGACAAACAAATGGAAGCAATGGAGTAATCTAATCAGGAATCGCAAGATAAGTTGCAAGAGCAGTCGGTCGAGTTACAACTTGGTAGAAGGAGTCAAACATCGGGTTCTCTGCAAGGCGCATCAAATAAAATGATCCAGGTGTTGGCACCATGAGCCTTTGGTAAAGAAAAAATGGATGATAAAGGAAGTCAATGTCATCATACTAATGTATCAAGAGTTATAATTTACCCTGGAGCATCTAACTCAAATCAAGGGAAGAGCCTCGTCAATTATGAGCAATTTGAAAACGAATTCAAGTGGTTGAATGAAGCCGTTAAAAATATGAAGGTTGTTAATGTCTCTCACAAGGAGTTAGTGTAACACCCCAAAATACGGGTTAGTGACTAAATTGTAAAACTTTAGAATTTGGTGATTAAAGTAGAATAATTAGATAATTCAATGATTTATCTGGAAGGATTGTTAGTAATTATTAAAAGAATTAAAGGGCAAAATGGTCATTTAACCATTAAATGATTAAATTGTGTTATGTTGAGGATATATACGGGGGAAAGGGATAAGAAGAATATCTCTTCTTCTCCTCTTTGTTCTTCCATACGAGAGAAAGCCACAGCAAAGGTGAGTTTTCTATTTTCTTGGTTATTTATTGTTTTAAAAGTTGGGTTATGATCACTAGATGATAATTAAGCTTAAGGAAAGCTTAATTTGTTCTAAAACAAAAAGATGAAGAAGTTATAAGAGATTTAAGAAAACGAGTTTTTATATGAAATCATGGAAAATAGTTGATAAGTTGAATTTGATGTTAAATTTGACTTGTCATCATGTTAATTAAGGAATATGAAGTATTAGAATTGTATTTAGAACATATTGAAATTTGAGTATGATTCTTGAATTACATATGAATGATAGGATTTGAAGTTATAGATGATTTTCATGGATATAAGTTGGTTTAAGTAATGGTAGTTGAGTTTAATGACATGATAGGGGTTTAAAATAGAAAATTAAGTGAAGAATTGATGATTTTTGGGGTTAAAATATAATTTCTGGGTAGAGGGAACCGATACCCTATGAATGGGAATCGATTCCCCCTCTTGGACGAAAATTTCCAGAATGTCCAGGAGGTATCGATTTCCCTCTAAAGGAAAAATGAAATTGGGTTCAATAATCTGGCTTAAGTTGTTAACATCAAGTTTAAGGTTTAGGATTCTTCTGATAGTTGTTTTGAAATGTTATATTTATGTAGATATTGAGCCTAAACAAGTTCTGGAATAATCAAAGGATTAGAATTGATTCAAATCAAACAAGGCTAAGGTGAATGCAATTTTAATTGTACTTATATTATTGAACGAACATTGGCTTGCGATGAGCCAATGATGGAGTTACTATGGTAAGAAGTGACTCTTAAAATGTTATTTGATATGTGATTCTTATATGTACATGAACACATGATATGCATAAACATAAGAGCATGAAACATAAGATATATGATATGATATACATGATTATATGCATATGTGATATATGCTATGAGATATGACCAATGTGAAATGAAATAAGCTATGTGAATATATGAAATGACATATGAATATGCAATATGTGATATGATATGAAATATATGGTTACACATACATGTGGTATGTGACAGAAGACAAAGAACAAGTGATGAGAAATATATTCATAATAAATTCCCATAGTATATGATACGAGAGCTATAGGTATAGTTAGCATGCCAAGAGTCGAGGGTATTGTAGTCCTTCGGGACGTAGTGGTCCTACGGGACATATATAGCAGTCTTTCGGGATGAATACTGAACAAATGTTCGGTGCCCCATGAGGGAATTTATACGAGCTGTGGTGACAACATTAGTGCACAACCTCAATGTACTCACATACCTCTATTCTTAATAATATACATGGGCAACAACAACAGCAGTTCAAATATAAATTAAAGTGAAAGTGATGCAAAAATGTAAGTTTCATGTGTGCATGACTTGATTATATATGTCATAGGAAATATATCCATGCATATTGAAATATCATGATCAAATGGTAAGAATGCATCTTCAGGAATATATTGTTACATGTTTATTTATTGCCTCACTAAGTCTATGACTTAGCGTGTAAGTGATTTACACGTAGGTACCAAGAAACATGAAGAGCAAGAATAGAAGTGTCAAGGACACAATATTATTACTAGAAGATCAGATCAGAAGTAATCGACAAAGTATGTATTTTGTTGTGTATAGAGTGTTGGCATGTAATAAGTCGTTAATTATGAGCATTCTGATCGAGTTTGTATTTTGTGGACTCTTTTATGTAAATTAAAGTATTTTGTTTTAAACCAAGTTTTAAATTCCCCGAGGTTTTTCTTTAAGCGTCAAGGTTTGAAAAGTCAATGTGACACCTCAGACTCGTATTCGGGTCGGGTACGGGTTGGGGTGTTACAGTTAATGGCATCAGAGCTAAGGTTTAGTCGATTCTCGGCATAAACCGGAGTCTTGAGTGTTTTATAAGGTATACATGCCAACAAAATAGTGAAAACTTCTGATATGATGGAATAGTAAGTATATTGTTGTGCTAATAGAACTATATGATTGTATTTTTATAGATGTTCGGACAAGGTAGTTTTAGAAATGAAGTGAGAGATGATATACCCACTGAAAGCAGTAATTCACCTGCCCTGGCCAGGCAGAGTGAAGAACAGACACCCTCTGGAGTGCATTCAAGATGTATTTTTTAGAACATTAGACGCGGTATTGATGCGTTTTCAACCTCCTGTTACTTCAATTCCAAAAATGATTGTTACGAAAGAGTTGAAGGGATTAGGAGCTCCAGAGTTTAGAGGGGAAGTCGATGAAGGTCCTGTTACTGCGGACCTTTGGCTTAATGACGTGAAGGTCATGCTTACGGGACTTCATTGTTCAGGGTACTGAGAAGCTAGATGAAGTAATTTCCTTGTTGAGATGACAAGCAAGGATCTGGTGGACCAATGTTACATTGAGGATGACTAACGCCCAAGTAACTTGGTCATTGCTTTTAGAAGAATTCAAACATAAGTACATCGGAGACCAATTTGTTCGTCAAATGAAGCAAGAGTTCATAAATCTGAAGCAATGGAATCACACTGTATATGAGTACGAGTGTGAATTCAATAAGTTGAGTCGCTTTGCTGCCGAGCTTGTTCCTACTGAGAAGGATGCTTGTGAGTGGTTCGTAGAGGGGTTACATCCTCGGTTGAAGGAGATGTTGATTGTATTGAATCTATCCTCGTTTCAAGAGGTAGTCAATCGTGCCAAAGCTTTGGAAAGAGCTCAGAATGAGAGATTTAAAAATTCAAGGACTCAAACAGTCAAGAGAATGGGTGCTTCTTCGAGTTCCGCACCGTCAAAAAGAGGCAGAGATGCTGGTTCTCGACCTCAAGCTAGATCAGATTCAGTGGTATCCTCAGCTAGAGGATCAAATCCGATGAGAGGCAGACAAACTCAATCAGCAGGATCTGGAGCTGGGAGATTTAACCAGAGTCAACACAGACAATGCCAACATTGTGGAAAGAATCATTTTGGGATATGTAGAAGGATTTCTGGAGCTTGCTTTAGATGTGGGGAGACCGGACATTTTGTTCGGGATTGTCCTAGAGTAGTCGATGAATCTGCACAGCCAGAGAGGTCTATTTCTACAGGCCAAAGGGAAATAGGTAGAGGCAGAGGAAGAAATCAGTCAGAGTCCTCTGCTCAACAAGAGATATGTTCCACTGCTCGAGTGTATAATCTCAGGACCAATGAGGATCGGGATGACTCGGAGATTATAATAGGTACCTTTCTGTTGTTTGATAAACTGATTATGGTATTGATTGATACGGGTTCTACATATTCATACATTACTAGTAAGTTAGTGAGAGAATTGAACATTCAATTAGAAGCTACTAACAATGAGGTGACAGTGACGAATCCGTTAGGACACAGTGCTCGGTAAATAAGGTGAGTCGAGGGTGTGCTCGGGTAAATAAGGTGAGTCGAGGGTGTCCCATACGAATTCAGGGAATTGAATTCTCTGCTAATTTGATGGAATTACCTTTTGAAGAATTTGAAGTGATACTGGGAATGGATTGGTTATATCGTTATTATGCTAATGTCGACTGTAGACTGAAAAGAGTAACGTTGAGAAGTCCAGAAAGGTAGAAATCGTGGTGTTTAGTGAAAGGTGGATTCCATTGGCAAATGTGATCTCAGTGACAACGACAAAGAAGTTACTGTTACAAGGATGTCAAGGGTTCATTGCTAGTGTGTTGGATGGAAGAGCCAAAGACAAAGAGATTGAAGAAATTCCTATCGTTAGAGAGTTCTCTGATGTATTTCCTGCAGAATTGCCAGGTTTACCTCAGGACAGAGAGATAGAATTTTAGATTGAGATAATGCCAAGAACAACGCCCATTGCAATGTCACCATACATGATCGCTCCAAAAGAGTTGCAAGAATTAAATATTCAATTACAAGAATTGCTGGACAAAGGTTTTATTATACCAAGTGTATCACCTTGGGGAGCTCCAGTTTTATTTGTTAAGAAGAAGGA